GCTACCAGAAATGATGCCACCGGAGCCAGCCCCTACTCACTCATGTTTGGAAGGGAACCTCGACTACCAATAGATCTCTGCTTCAGGGTTGCCAAGGACCAGGGTGAGTCCGAATCATATGGGCAGTATGCTCAAACGCTGAGAGAGAGACTGCGGCAAGCTTACCGACTGGCAATGGTACAGGGCCCCAGAATCCCCCCTGCACCTATCTCTTCAACATCTGGCAGGCTTCATGGCCACAGCAGGGCCTGGCAGGCCTGCAGTAGTTTTTTTTCACCCCCCTGTGCCTAAGGGAGACACAGTTGCACAAGCACCCATGTCATGAGTTTTGCCTGTTAGCAGCCAGAGGTGCAGGGCCCCAGAAGCCAGACCCCCTGCAGCTTGACAGCTGGCAGACTTTGTGGCCACAGCCAGGCCTAGCAGACCTGCAGTTTTCACCCCACTGTGCTTTAACACACACAGTGTCACCTATGTCATGAGTTTTGATTGTCAGAAGCTTGAAGTGCAGTTTCCCAGAAACCCCTGCAGCTATCTCCTTGAAACTTGGCAGGATTTGTGGCCTCATCAGGGCCTATCACCCCTGCAGTTTTCACTCAACTGTGACTTAACACACATGCACTTGACATGAGTTTTGCTTGTTAGCAGCTTGAGGTGCAGTTTCCCAGAAACTCCTGGACCTATCTCCTTGAAACTTGGCATACTTCATGCTCTCAGCAGAGGCTACCATTCCTGCAAGTTTCTTTCAAAGAAAACAAAAAACAACAAAGTTATAGATATTTAATTGATTCCTCATTATACCCTATGGCCAATTCTCCAAATTGGCTCCAAATCAGCTCTGAAGCTTTGGAGCCAATTTGGCCAAATCGAAGCAGAAAATCGATTTGAAGCTCTGAATCAAATCACTGGCATCCGAATCAGCCAAATCCAAATCTGAATCAAATAGTTTCCTATTCTTACAGGCCTATTAACTATACACAATTCATTTACATAGGGAGAAAAGGGGAGGTAGAAAAGACCATAAAAATCAATGTATACACCAAAAAGATATGAATAAATATTATATATGAATAACTATTATACATATGCTACAGCAGTATGAAACCCCAAACTAACTCTTCTTCTGGAAATTTGGGTGCTGTCACTGGGGAGATATGGGGGGTCGGTGAGAACTTCTTACACTCAACTCTCAGGTAGTTCCTAGATGAGTTTTGCCCAATGTTGCTTGTAGTGATGTTGTACAACTGCCAGCCATGAATGTCATACTGGTTCTGGATGCAAGTAACAACCCAGTCTTCTACATACACTCTCTAACCCCCACAGGAGAGGCAGCAGAGTTCTGACTCACCCATATGGGTAAGCCCTTTCAGGTCTTATACTCTAGCGTGTAGCAGTCAGATCCTCCCTGGATCAATCTTGTACCAATCACCACTCCTTCAAGGTGGGTGGAGCCAACCTCCTGTGGCCAGAACCTGGCTCCTCCCCCTTAGCCAGGGCTTGGGCAAGCAGTGCAGCTTGCTACCCAACTCCTAAACCTGAGAGGGGTTTATGTCCCGTTCCATATCTTGATGAAAACCTGTGGTGTTGCGATCCCTGCCTGTAATATCTCTCTAGCTCTTAGAATTCAATGGGGAACACTCTCCTCTGCATGATACAGGTGACTCTCCCTGCCTCCTCTTCATGGGCAGGGTGCAAGCACCCAGGGAGAGCTCCTCTGGGGCTAAAATTTCCTTCCCTATAACAACAAAGGATATGCTGACAGATTCATCTGGAATTGACTTGACAGGCATTGTCTTGCTTTGTGTCCTGAAACCTGCTGGCCCTTGGAGCAGCAACTCAGTCTCTGCTGTCCTACTCTTGCTCCAGCCTTGTCCTGCTGACTTCAGGGTCTTCTCGGGTTCATTTGACTAACCCTTTAGGTCAGCTCACCTCAGCTCTTTGATGCCCATGTATTTCTCTGTCTTTCCCTCCAGCATGTGCCTTCTTTAATCCCCTCAGGGAGCCACACCCCTGGATAGCAGTTCATCCAATTAGGAGCTCAGAGTGTATTCTACAATCACCTTCTGCCACATCTGTGGATCATGGCTAGTCCAATCAGAAGTCTGGGTTGAATGGTCCAATCACACTGAACTTCCCTTGTTGCAACAGGTTGAAGCATAAACCCAAACAAAGACTAATATGTAAGAGAGCCTGATTTAACTCTGTTATACTTGTAATGTCTTTCTTCAAAATACTGAGAATAGTTTTTCTTGCATATTTTGTTCTGTGTTCTTGCATGTAAAAGCTTGGAGGATGACACTGTCATTCCAATAAATCATCAGCGCTGTTTACCATATTTTGGTAAGACCAGGCCCTTTGCAGGATCTTCAGAGAAAACTATTGTGTGAAAGGCTAAGAAATGTGAACTTCTCCAGTATACTATGTACTAAATTAAAACTGGAAGAGAATACATTCTACATATATTCTATTCTATAATGATATATACTCCCAGTAGTCAGTTTAATATAGTGATGAACTCTTAAAACTAGCAGCATACATGGGCACTTCCAGCTTCTGAGAAGCAGTGGTGTGTGAGGCACTGTCAGTACCTAGGCTGCCAGCAGTAGTGGGCAAATGAGCAGTACACATTTTTGTTCAGTACACATTTTTGGTCAGTAGCTAGGCTGCCAGCAGTAGTGGGCAAATGATCAGTACAGCAGCTACTATTTTTGTTCCCCTCAAATGAGCACCTGGTGCTGGTGACCCAGTTGCCTCCACTTGCCCTCAGCTACACTACTGCTTAAGTCTTACAAGAAGAATTTTGAAGCTTTTCACATAACAGAAACAAGCAGGTGGAACTCTACCTTTCATAAAATCAAAAAGAGTGATGGGCTTGGAATATATAGCATGATTAGTAGCATGCAAGAGGTCAGCAATGCACAACCTAAGATAACTGAGTGCTTTTGAAGCAACTCCTCTGGTCTCTTGGAGCAAGAATAGAAAACAAACTCTATGTAGACCAAAGTCTGAACATTCAGCCCCGATACCAAATTAAACTATCAATCCAGCTGCATACATTCAAAAGGCAAAATATTGTTAAGAATATTACAGAAGATAGTTAAAATGAACTGTTCTTGGAGATGGTAACCATTTTTTTAGATATCATTCCAAACAAACTGCTTCATAATAACTTAATTCATCTGCACAACCTGGAGACAGAATTAAAGACTGTAACTTTCACTTATTTTATTATATGTTATTTTTGGCATGGGTGGATTTTGTCTCTTAAAAATAATGAGGTTGCTGAAACACTCAGTGTTTGAATGAAGATTTAGACTGTAATCTAGCAAACTGACTGCAGTTTAATTTGCAATAAAACAAACTGCTTGACATTAACTTCATGCAACAGCACAGCTTGAAGACAGAATTTCAAAATTGTTTTGAATACCTGGCAGCCAGAAAGTTACAGAGTGTTTCAGAAATTTGTAAATAAACATAGAGAGGTAATATTTCAAAGAAATTACATTACTTGCAGATACTTCTATAACACTTATCATTTCACTGTTGTACCATAAGCACTAAAATACTGTGTGCACTGATACTGTTAGACAAAACAGCTCACCTGATTTTGCAGGGTGAAAGAGGCCTACTTATTTGGAAAATGCCCAGGAGTAATCTTTTGTAGCTAGTTCAGCTGACTCCTCTTGTGAACAAATGCTAGCAGTTTATTTTGCAGTGCCATAAGTGATAAACATTTGACAGCTTTTGGATAAAGAAATTAGTCATATTTCACTTACATCATATCCTGACATGTCTTCCAAGTTTAATTCTATCTAAGAGCAATTTTAACTTAAATAGTAACTTTCACTCATTTTGCCACATCTGGCTTTTGATATGGGCAGATTTTACCTAGTGATAATAAATAACTTGCCAACACTCAGCTTTCGAATGAAGATTTAGTCCACAATCAAGCAAAATACAAGTGTTAAACTTTCACCTTGAAAATTGTCCCTCTGATGTCAAGATAAGCTCATGTTCATATACTAAATGCTCACCAGTATAATTGCCATGGCTCTTACTTTTAACCAGCAGAATTTGACTGAATGTAAATAATCAGAGTGTTGTCCTGATTACACATCTACTAGCAAAATAGGCTTTAAGCATCATTTTCCACATCTACTCAAAACAGACAAGTTAATTTCCATAGTCAGTGTTTCTAGGCATCTGCTTTCCCAATCTTAATTCAGTACAGTATAATAGTAAGTACATATGGTTTTTCAGTCAGGCTTTTACAAGGTGTTCATTACTTTCCATCAACATGCCTTTTTATTTATTTACAGTTGAAGACTGAATATGGAAAATAAACTCTTCAGCATCATCATACATTTTATCAGTTGTCATTTATATTATTTCAGCAAGTATGGGTGGTGATGAAGTAATGGTTCAGGATCACATTGTACTAAAAGTAATGCTGACTTACTCTCTTTCAAGACTTCACATTAATCATATCTATATCACTTATGGGATGTATTCTAATTTATTGGTTTCAAAGAGGTTATGTTGGTTTAAATGCAATCAGAAACAGCCTTATTATCTTTTTTCTACAAGTCTAGGTGGATCATGGTTTCATAATGAGAAATGGAAACACACGTTCTGAGTGACTATTTTGAAGGTAATTACTTCTAAGTTCATGCAAAATATACCAATAGCATTCATGGACCCGAAATCACCGGTGTTCCAAATGGATGCAACCCTGAGTGTATATTATACATACATCTGATGAATTAGCCTATTCTTGCTGAAGAAAGATTTCATGCATCATCACAACTATAGTTCTTACATTGCATTTCAATTCCAGGAGGCTTTCCATTTCCCTAAATGTGTGCTCTTGTGGTTTTCTATATTTTTGTACCTCTTTTACCTTTCTGTGCTTTTCAAAGCCAAACAAGCAGTTTTTGCACACTTCCAGGGAACTTTGAGCTAAAATATGTTTTTGTTTTTACACAAACTTACAGTCCCCAGAAGGTTTTATAACTCTATTTCCTGGCAGCCTGTTTTCAACAGTTTTCCACTTCCTCTATTTTTTCCTCAGGACCTAGTTATATCTATTTTGCTTCAGTGATCATGGGAACTGTTTGTAAGAGATTACTGTGCTAAGCACTTTCTAATTATCTTTCTACTCATTCACGTTATATAAGGAAACCAAAAAAAAAAAAGAAGAAAGAAAAAGAAAATTAAGTTTAATTACAATCTAATATTTTCAACAAAATTCCTTGAAAGCCATTTGATTTTTCTTAGCAGGTTTTCCCTCACAATTAAAGAAAATAAAATTCTGGGGAAACTTTTAACAAATTAAATATCCTTAATGTGTTTTTAATCTGAAGTGGTAAACATAAAATATTTTAAAAGAAGGTTTTTTGTTTGTTTTGTTTTTTAACAGAAACTACTGACTTCTTACTGTAGTCGCAATAACAAATATAATTTAAAGGAAAAACCCCAACAGCAATATATTCTGTCATTATATCACAAATCCATCTATGTATATTTTGCATCTTAAACAGAAGACAGTCTATGTTTTTGTTGTTGTTGTTAGAAGCTATTAACTTAGTAGTATTACAAATAATAAGAATGAATTAATACTATAATATTTTTTATTTCATTTCAACTCTTGACATGAAATGCTAATTGATATTACAACTGTTAACATGGTAACTTAATGTTCCTGTTTAGAAAAGAATAGATATATCCTCAGGGAAGGTTGTTTATGGGCAAGGATACAGCTATTACTGAATTAAAAGGAAGCATCTGTAAATATTCTGTAAAGCACAAAATAATTACAATATTTTAAGTCTGTTCTCTTTCAGTGGAATAAAAGAAGAAGCTGAAATGTTTTTTTGCAAATAATGGTAGATAGGCAGACAGGTATTTCAATTCAGTTCACCTTAGAGCCATAACTTTTCATGTAGTTGGATTTGTGTCACCCAAATGTGGGAAGTCCCACTTCCGGTTTCACCACCATGAGCCAAGTCCTACTTGCTGTGATTCTTCCTTGTGGACCGCAGCCCAAGGCAAAGCAGTCTGTGCGGGGCCCCCCCTCTCTGTCCCCCAGCACACTGATGTGGACACATAGTGCACTGGATGTGGCATATTTGATTAACTGGAATCCCCCATTTCTGGGGGATGCTGGATAACAGAGCTTTTCCTGTAATTGTGGGGGTAGTGGAGATGTGTTCGAAAGTTTTACATTTCTTGTCCCAGCATGCTCTGTTTCCATTTGGTGTGCTTTGGGCCATAAGAATTTTGCTTCTGGTGCTGAGATTCACAAGGTTTGGTGCTTGTTTAAATGTTTGTTTTATTACCTACTTGGGATTGCAACAGAATTAATGCATAATCTTCATAAAGCAAGAGAGAGAGAGATGGTCATTCAAAATCATGGGTACATTGAACTGATTTCCTACTAGCACCTGTTTAAATCATTCAAAAATAAATTGAAAAGTAGCGGAGCAAGCAAATGTCCTTGCCCTATCTTAGTTGGGGAAACTGCTGGATAGGGTACCACCAAACCCATAAAACAGCCTTGATGCTGTGTTTGAATAGTAAGAGATGATTAATTGTAGAAGAGCTTTGTCTATTACTGTTATTTCCAGTTTCTTCCATAATCTTTATCTGTCCATGGAGTCAAAGGGTCTCTTGAGATCTATGAAAGTGATGTGTGGATGATTTTGTCTTTTAACATGCTTAGATGCCAAGTAATGTCATGCCAAACAATGGTCCATGAAGGAACGACATTCTCTAAAACCAGTCTGCTTTTCTCCCACAATATTCTTTTCAGAGATCCATGTCTGAAGGTGAAAAAGCAAATGTCTCCGAAATATTTTGGCAGGAATACACATCAGGCTAACTGGACAATAAGACACAGGATTTTTCTTACTGCAATTTTTAAAAACTGGGACCTTTACATTTTCATTCTAATACTTTGGATAAATGCCTTCTAAAATAATTATAGTAAACATTTTGGTGAAAAGTGGGTACCACCAATCAATGTATTCTTTGAAGATTTCTGGGGGGAGAAAATCAAGGTTGGGGGCCTTCCCATTTCTCATTCAGGATATACATGATCTTACTTGAGATTCAGAGGTGAGATAATAATCTATTTGCAGCTTTTATCCTTCCAACCATTTTTATAAAATGAAATATATCCAGGGATGGGCACCATCTTCCCATACCATGTGTCTTGTAAAATTTCAATATTAAAATTATTAATAAAAGTTCTCCACAATGAGTCAGATAATTTGTTTGACAACCCAGCTATGTTCCAGACCAAAAGACCACTATCACCTAAGGGCACAGCAGTTTGATTCTCTTTGGGATCTAATCAATCATTTAAGACCACAGATATAGCACAGTCATTAGTAACTGAGGCCCTTAAAGGCATATCCAGACAAGCACTCACTTATGGTTTGCAGCACAGAAACCTGTCTGTGGTGCCACAAATTGCATGTACCACACATGCACATGTCTGCTGTGCTGCTAATTTACAGCATGGTGGGTTTTTTTGACACGGGGATCTCCCAGTGTCAACCTCCACATCCCCAGATAAAAGTGGAGTGGCACATGTGGTGGCAGATTACACCATCTGAAACTGGAGAATGGCCAGTCAGAGCCATGCTCTGGATGCTGACTAGGCTCTGGGTGCCCAGATCACCACAACTGCTGCCCTAGGAGGCCTCCAGAACCCAGATAAGGCTTCTGGGGCCTCTTCACCATGCCCACATGTTGACCCTGCAGAGGCAAGAGGCAGAGGCCTTTTGTGAAAGTTTGCAACGTTTCAGAGACAAGCTACTCTGCACCAGGAGCCATGTGCTGCCTGGCCTTTGTTCAGGGGTCAGCTGGGCACAGGTGCCCAGGGTGCCAGAGTGGGACAGGCCAGGCTGCTGGCAAAACCTACTGCTGTGGTTCCAGACCCCCTCCTTCCCTGCTCTGCTGTGCTGCTGTCTAGCCGACGGTGCCTGTTCTTGGGGTGAACAGTGCTCTCAGAGAACTGGGGCAAGGGCTGGCTGCACCCCCTCTCCATGCAGGCGGCCTCTCTGGGTGGCATCCCAGGGCCAGCCCTCACCACCACCACTGTGCCTCAAATGTGCCCTGCTGCATGTGCCCTGGGTGGTGTGTGATGAGCTATTTGTGCAGGTTGAGGGGTGTCTGAGCCACTATGCTCTGCTGCTGCTGATCCTCTTGGTGCCCAAGGCCCATCTGCACTCCTAGTTTGGGACCCTGAGATATTAGGGGGGGGGGGCAAGCCTGGGCTGCCCCACAACATCCACTGCTGCCTGGAAGGCTATCTGCAGTAGCGCTACACATCCCTGCTCCCTGCTGCTGAGGAGGACATTATAACCAGCATCAATGCCTTCCTCAGTGTGTGAGAGGCCCATGACCACCCAAATACTGGGACACGGGATGCTCAATAAAGTTCTGAACTGTGTCTCAACTCTGTCATGCTGGGGAGAGGGGAAACCCAGGGCCAGGGGAGTGTGGGTGGCCTGGGTGGAGCGGGGGAAAGGAAGCAGGGGCAGGGGTTGGGGCCAGGGGAAGGGGCTGGGGCTGGGGCCAGGGGCAAGAGTGGGGACTGGGAGAGCTCTCCCCCCACCATACAGGACTTACCATGGGTCTGGGGCTGGCAAAGATGGCAGCTTGGACCTTCTCATTGGTGACAGCAACCAACTATGCCTGGTGTTTTCAGCTTGTGGTGTGCAGTGGGCCAGTGCAGCTGGCCAGGGCTCCCTGAGCTGCTAGTGGGTGCAGCAGCTGGGGAGGTGGATGGGGTGGGGCACTAAGCCCCTGAGGGCCCTCCCTCCAAGGAGGTGTCACCACTGAAAGAGTCAGGGCAGGGCCAGGTTGGGGGCTCAGACAGGCTGCCCCTGCTGGTAGACACTGCAGTGTGGCAGCCTGGGTCCTGGTGCTCTAAAATCTGGGTCAGCTTCCACATATAAAAGGCATGGCCTTGGAGGCACAAACCAGACCAACAATTATGGTCAGTTATGCCCACCCACTGTGCCTGTAAAGTCTTGCTCTTTATGCAGCACTGCCACACCATCCAGGAGTGCCTTGATCATGCATCCTGCCCAACAGGGCCTTATAAATATGGGTGTTCAAGCACCCACCCCACGTGAACTACCTCTGGACCTCTGCATCCCCCACAGAGGGCCATGAGGTTGCTAACCTCCTCCTGACTCCAGCTGGGGCAGGGCCAGTCCCAGATGGGGAAGATGGGGAGGAGATGGTATGCATCCCATGCTGGGTCTCTGGGCCCCTGCACAGCTGTCTCTGTGTGGGCAACCCTGCACAGCAGCCAGCAGTGTTCAGCAGAGGAGCATGGCTGGGACTGGGAGCTGCATGGCAGAGGCACTTCATCACAGGACATGCAAACACAAGAGTCAATGCTGGGGGTGAACAGCATCAGGGAGCAAGTGCTGGGGAGATGTCAGGGCTGGGTAGGAGGAGCAGCAGGCTGCAGCCCATTGCAACAGTCACCTGTGGCTAAGCAGGAGCGCTGGCTAGGAGACAGGACAGGTAAAGGCAGCCTGGGTCCTGTCCAGGAGGGCACACAGGGCCTTCAGGGCCTGCAATGGTGTGTGTGCCCCAGGGCACAAAATGGCTGGAGGTTTTTATAACCTACATCTAGGGGCTACCACAGGCTGGGGCAGGAGAGGTGGTTTGCCAGGAGCCCTGCAGTTGGGCTCAGGGTGGCCCCCTAGTGGTTAGGCAGACCCAGCACTAAAGTTAGTTCCAGGTTGCATCTACATGTGCTTTAATGCACTTTAATTAGTCTCATCTAAATTTGATACCTGCATTTGAAGGTACCAAATTTAGATATGATTAGCTTAATTTATGGTGCAGTAAGGATGCACATGTGTTGACGTGCTCCTGTACTGTGCAGTAACTTAGGCTAATGAGCATTAACACTAGGGCTGTGAGAAATGGCTGTATTTTGATTCAGTTTTAGATTCGGCTGTTTCAGAGAACAGTGATTCATTTCGGTGTTTTGCATCAGAGTCCTGTTTTGTTTCAGCCGAATCTGTTCTGAGATTCATCTCTGCCAAATCTCCTCTGAATCTGTTTTGAATGGGCTGCAAAGGAAGCTTCGCACAGCCGGATGGGGCTTGAGGCCAGAGGCTTGGGGTCCCAGTGAGGAGCAGGATGGGCTGTGAGTGGCTCATCTGGGGGAGGGGGAGGACCGCTGCCCTCCATAGAGGTGAGGAGACCCACACACAGATCTCTGATCCCTGGGGAAGCAGCACAGAGAAGAGTGGTGAGCAAATCTGCTGGCAGAGTGCCAAGCAAGCCTGCTGGTTCCTGTCTCATGCCTTGGCTCTGCAGGGAGCAGAGATCTGCACCAGGGGTCTCCTCACCACAGCTGCCTGCCCCATGCTGCCCGGCAATGTGGGGCTGTGTGGGGCAGGCAGCAGTGGCGAGGAGACCCTGCTGTAGATCTCTGTTCCCTGTGGACCCAGGTTGTGCTGCAGGGCAGTGCTGGTCCTTGCTGTGTGACCTGTCAAGTGGCAGGGATTCCCCAGGTACCAGTTACTTTCCCTAGTTCCTTTCTCGATTCCCCGGTTCTGAGGGGGAAATTACTTACAAAGTGTTTTCTCTCTAGATCAAAAGGGTTCTAAAAGAGAGATGAGCCTTCAATATGTCAGAATTTTACAGAAGGGAAAACAAGATGAAGTGCTATCCAAAGTTTCAAGTAACTAATCCTGAGGCATAAAACTAAATCATGGAGGCTTGGCACTGAGCATTAATTTGAAAAAAAAATACAATAAAATTAATCACTGGCAACAGTATGGAACTTTAGGAGGAAGTGTTCACTTAAGTGGTTTATCCAGCCTTAGAGTTAGTTCTTAGCATTTTCCTTTTTCCCACCTCCTTTTCATGAGGGTAAAAATATAAAAATTAAGTAAAACACTTAGCTTGCCTTGTATGAGTTTGCTTTTTATTCTTTTTTCTTTCTTTTTATTCTATTTCCTAACTCTTCTATTTTCTTTAATATCTCTCAGAAGACACAGTAGAAATTACTGTTTATGTTTTCCTTAAAGAAGTTTAATCATTTTCAGCTGTAACAAATGCTAGGCTTTGCTTCTAAATTTATATGCAAATGGTTTTCTGCTGCCCTTTTCTTTCTAATCACTGCCTCTTTTCCTCTTGATTTCATTTTCTCTTCTTAAAATAGATGACAAAACATGAAGACATTTTAATTAGTTACATTTCATGGTAGTGAAATCATTTATATTTCTGCTGAATGAAGGCATGCTCTCATTGATATTTTAGTAAACAGCAAAATATAAGAAAATGTTTTAAACGTTGTCATCATTAGCTGTTGGGAACTACTACTCATTATTATGAGGCCTAATCCAAAGCCCTTTGAAATCTAACCATATTTTTGTTATTATTCCTGTTTCATCTCCAGGAATATTCCAGTAGGGAATGGAAGTTTTCATTGAATGTTTCATGTACAAATAATAAACAAAATAACTAGTTTGCATTTGAAAAAAATCAAAACATATGCACACTTTTGATGAAAGTTTTCTCTTTTTTTCTTTTTTAGTTCAGGGTATACCATGCCTGGAATTCTTCTCAAAATATTATGTGAGGCGAAATTTGCATGTTCTTTTTATCAAGATAAATGTAAAAAAAAAAGTCTTAAATGTCATGAGCTGAGGCAGAGTCCAGGTTATTAGGACAGGGCTTCAATTGGTCATTCTTGAAAGGGCAACAGAAAAATCATGCATAGTTAAAATTTTGGGATTTGTTTAAAGGAAGATCATTCATTTACTGTCACAAGCAAACAGTTTTAAAACAGCAACAACCTTCTGTCATGTAGGCATGGTCTTACATCTATTTTATAGGGGAAGGAAGAGAGGTTAAGGTCTACATTTTCAAATCCCCTGATCTTACTTGCCATGCTTGAGACACATGATCTCTCAGAATATGTAGCAAATCAAAGGCAGAACAAAAAACAAACACACAAGGAATTCTTATATTTAATCCTATACTCTAAACCAGTGGTTCCCAACTTGTTTAGACACAGGGGTCCCCTGGGGAAATGCCAGCTTTTCCCTTTCATTTGTTTTTTGATTACAGAAGAATAATAGAGCAATTCTGCTCCTGCAAAAAACTTAGACTCCACCAGGTCAGAATATTTTTTTAAATCTCTGGGGTTTTTTTGTGAATGAGATGTAGGTGTTTGCATACTAAATACTGCTAATAGTGAACA